GTCCATATAAACGGCTTTGGAGGCCTGCTCCCTCAGCCACCGGCTCCCCACGCTGTGCTCCAGCCACGCGTTCCCCGCAGGGTGTGGCCAGCGTTCCGGCTTCGTGTCCAAGGGCGTTTGCATGGGCCGCTCCCTCTGCCCCCACGTTCCCAGGGCTCGTTCCTCACTGAATTCTAACATCACCTTCCTGGTCATCCAAAGCAAACCAGCCGTCCTGGGCATCCTGAGCCCCACTGTGAGGCACTGACCTCCGTGCGGCACACAATGTGGCCTCGTGAGGCCACATGTGCCTCTAGCTAGATGGCGCCCCCAGGGCAGGGCTCTGTCTCTGCTCACAGCTGCACCCCACCCCCTGAGCAGCGTTGGGCGCGTGGCCTGTGTGCAGGGGCTGAGGGTTCCAGGCAGAGCCGGCAGCTGGCAGGGCCCCCAGAGCAGGCGTCTCAGCATGCCCAAGCAGCAGGAGGATGGCTGATTTAATTGAATTCCAGAATCCCTGCAATAAGCTAGGAAATGTATACCTGCAACTTGTGGGCCCGAGCTGAGCAGGCAGACGCCTCAGGCCTCGTTACGCTTCCCACAGGAGGATTTACTGGGGCCAAAGGCACTGCAGCCTGGATTGGCTCCAGCCCGCCAGCTCGCTCAGGGTGGCTGGGTGGCAGGTTTAGGGGCGCCTGCCCAGCCCTGCCCAGCAGGCCTTGGGGGTCAGGACGAGCTCCCAGCCAGTCTGGGCAGTTCTCTCTGGTCTGCTCCCTGGCCTGCGTGAGAAGGGGTTAAGGGAACATCTGTCCAGCTACTCAGTTGTGCCAGTGTCATCCAAGGGATCAAGAGGGGCGGACACCTGCCAGCTGGCAGGGCAGGGCCGGACAAGGGCTCAGTCCGCAGAGTAACCAGCGTCCCCAGATGGACACGTCAGAGCCCCACGTGAGGCCACAAGACAGCTGTGAGGTCAGCACCCAGCGTTCGGGAGGCTCTGTCCCCGTTCCTAGGCCCAGGGGGGACCAGATACTCAGCCTCCTGCCACCCAGGGAAGGGTGCCAGCAGCGAGAGCTGTCAGCACAGAAGCCTGAGGAGGCCGCCTGGCCGGGGTACAGGGAGGTGGGGGGCGAGGAGGCCAAGCGAGGGCAGGGCCCCCCAGGCCACTTATAAAGACTGGCTTTTATCCAAGTGGGGGGACGGCCTGGAGAAGAGGAAGGGGCGCTGAGCAGTTCAGGGTCTCACCGGCCCCGGGCAGAGGGCAGGGACGTGCCTGGGGGTCAGCCGGCGGCGCCAGGAGGAGCCTGAAGGGCTTGCCGCCCCCGGCCCTGCACCGGCGGACAGGCGGCGCGGGGGAGGGGAGCCATTAGTTTGGAATAAATAGGGGTGTGTGTGGTGTACGGGTTACGATGGCTGTATAAAGAAGGTTCTGGGTCTGTATGTGAGCGTGTGTGAACGTGTGTGCATATGTGCGGGAGTGTGTGGGCATGTGTGTGAATGAGTGTGTGCGCGTCGAATGGTTGGTGTAGTGTGTGCATGTGCTGCCTGACTGGGGTGGCCTAAGGTGACGTGTGTGACACACCCTTCCTGAAGTTCAGAACAAAAGAACAATCGAACGCCCCCCTGGGCTGTGGGGCGGGGCCGCCTGTGTGCCGGCAGACGGCAGACGGTGGTGAAGTCGGCCAGGGCGCTCCGGACCCCTGCACCCACGCCCTGTATCTTGTGACAGTCTCTTCCCATCAAGGTGGTGGGGGGAGGTACACTTCCCCTCCCCCGGAATCAGCGCTGGCCTGTGTCCCACCCGGATGGTCAGATCAGGGAGTGTCATCGCTCGAGCCCCGGACCCAGGCCTCAGGAGGCCCCCGCTTCCGGGGAGCCCCTGGGGAGGCTTCCGGGGAAGACAGAAGACCTGGGCTAGCCAGCCGAGGCGAGAGGCCACCGCTCCACACCCCCCATGCCCCAGCAGAACCCCGACAGACCTGGAGCAGCACGTGGAAGGGGTTTCCTTCCCAGCACAGCCGGGCAGCTGAGGCTGGGCCCTCCGGAGGCCGAGGGGGTGTGCGGGAAGCCCCGTGAGGATGAGAAAGCCGACCCCAGGCCTCCCACTGCATGAGTTTGCGGCCAGCGTAGCACAGCACTGGTGGGCGTCAGCACTCATCTAAGGACTTGTTACGGGTCGAAACGTTGAATGGCCTTCCAAGAGGATGTGCCCAGCGCCTGTGAATGCGACCTCATCTGGAAAAAATCTTTCCAATGTTATCAAGTTAAAATGAGCTCTTACTGCTTCACTAAATCCCCCGAAGCAGACGTGGCAGAGGGTGAAGGTTGCTAATCGGCTGACCTCAGAATAAGATGATACTGGTGATCAGGCGGGCTCAGCACCACCACCGCGCCCGTAAGTGGGAAGGGAGGAAGGGAGGGGCTGTACCTAGAGTGGGTGTCACCCCTGCCACCCTGCGTAAGTCGGAAATGTCTCTAGACATGCCCCGGGGGCAACGTCACCCCAGTGAGACCCCTGCCCTGCCTGACGTGCCGGCTGGGGTCCCCACGACCCACACACCCTGAGCCACGTGGGGCTCAGCTGCAGGAGGTGGGCCCGAACACAGAGGAGGTGCAGGCCAGGCGCCCTGCACCCACCCCTGCGCCCCATGCACTTACTGAGCACCTTCCCACCGAGCCAAGTGCTTCATGCAGGCCCTCAGTTCTCTGCCGCCACCTGACAAGTTGCCCAAACTCCATGGCTCAACCCAACTACACTCTCAGTTCTTTTGCTCATGCACCTGCCAGGTGGGCAGGGCTCAGTGACCATACTTGCCTCTGCTCCACACCTGGGCAGCTCAGCTGGGTGGGAGGACCCACTTCCAAGATGGCACCATCACATGGCTGGGGGCCAGGGCCTTGGCTCCTCCCCACGTGGTCCCTCCCCACGTGGCCCCTCCCCACGTGGCCTCTCCCCACGTGAGCTGCTGGGGCTTCCTCACAGCATGGCGGCTGGTTCCAAGTGCAAACATCCCGTGTCACACAGCCCAGCGCACGGCCCGACGCGCACTGTGCTGTGTCAGCCAAGGCAATCACGAAGGCCAGCCCAGTTCCAGGGCAGGGAGCAGAGGCCCCACCAGGACCAGAGGAGGGCACGCAAGTGGGAGATGCTACGCCAGCATCTTTAGAGACTCGCCTGCTACACGTGAATCAAATCACTGTAATCCTCACACCCGCATCTGAGGCAGACGTGTGTTGCTGGTGAGCAACCGGGGGTGCAGCGCAGTCAGTAAGTTGCCCAAGGCCATGCACAAGGACAGCGGAGCTGGGATTGACACCCAGACCCTCCGTCCCCAGGGGGTGGACATTCCCTTGTTGCAGCTGAGTGGAATCTTTTGGACAACCCGCACGATTCCAGCCACGAGGTTGAGGAGTGTCCCCTAAGGATATCCTCGTCCACCTTCAGGACCGGCAAAGGGGCGGCCCGGTCGTCACACCCCGTCCGTCAGCAGGCGGCGACCCGCGGTCCAGCGGTCACTGTCTCCTTCAGCATCCAGCCTTGTTTGCTGTTCGCCACAGAACAGGTTGGAAGTCTGGCCAAACACTAAAATTCACACACGTTTCCCCAGCTGCCTTATTCCTTGCTGGTCTAGCACGGGGGTGGGGGGCAGAGTCACAGCCCCCAGAGATGCCAGGTCTCAATCCGTGGGACCTGTGAATAGTTACCTTATAAGGCAAAAGGGCCTTGGCAGAGATTATTAATTAAGGTCCTCAAATGGGGAGATTGTCCTGGGTGATGAGGGTGGGCCCAGTGTCATCACAAGGGTCCTTATAAGGGGAAGTGGGGGGTCAGTCAGAGAAGGGGACGTGACGGCAGAAGCAGAGGTTGGAAGGATTGGCTCTGAAGCTGCAGAGGGGCGGGAGGCAAGGATGAGGACAGCTTCTAGAAACTGGAAAAGCAAGGAAAGGACTCTCCCCGGAACCTCCGAAAGGAACCACCTGCCCAGACCTGACCCCCCCAGACTGGGATTCGCGGGGAGAAGAAAGCCAGATGGCTTTGAGCCGTGAGCTCGTGTGATTGTCATGCAGCAGGGCAGCCTGCCACCCGGTGACTGTTCCCTTCCCCAGGGCCTCCAGTGTCCTCTCGAGGTCTGCCCCGGAATTGTGCCCAAGACCACATCCATCTCAGAGGTCCGAGGGCTTGGCCCCCATCCTTTCCACCCTTTTGGAAACTGAAATCTCACTTTGTTTGGTCCCCAGCCTCCTCTCCTGGCTGCGAGGTCTCTCCCGGAGCTGCTGGCTGGGGCGCAGTCAACACCGCCAGGCCAGAGGTGCTCCTGGGGAGGGCTTCGTGGAGGGGTCAGGTGTCTCTGGCCGTCAAACCGCGTCAGTCCGATGTTTGCTGGGAGGGCTGGAGGGCCAGGCTTGCATCCCATGGTCTGTTGGTCACAGGCTGGGGGTAGTGGGCAGGAATCAGGAGGCAGAGGCAGGGAGGCAGCCCTCCTCGGGACCCCAATGCGGCAAGCCTGGGGCTCCCATAAAGAGGACTTCCTCTCCCATGCCGCCAGCTCTCCCAGGCCAGCAGCCTCCTGCACCTGCAGCCAGGCCACCTGGTGGCCAGCACCCACCCGCCGGCCCCCAGACCAGGACTGGCTTTGGGGGACAGCGAGGTGCTGGTGTTTGCTTCTCTCTCCTATTTGTAGGTCACACTTCGAATTTAAATTTTAATCTGCATTTAATTGCCGTCATTGTCTAGGTATTATATGCTCAGAAATGAAGTCTAAGATGGAGCAAGATGAAAGTGTGCCCCCGACCTGCGGCACCCCCGTCTCTCGTCCCATCCCCGAGAGGCCCTAACAGAGCTGGCTCTTGATTTACAGTGAAAGCAGCCTCCGCCTGGCGCTACCTGTATCACGCCTGCATTTACAAATTCATTTATTCCTGGGCTCCTGTTCTCCTGAATTCCAGCTCTCTCACTTACAATTTGGTGGCCCCCAAAGGTCATCAGATGAGAAAGGGAGGGCACACAGAGAGGTGGAGGTGACGTGATGACACAGGCAGAGACGGGGCAGCCACCAGCCCAGGACAACAAGGATGCTGGCAACTCCAGGAGCCGGAGGAGGCCCGGCCCAGATTCGCCTCGGAACCCGCAGGAGGGAGGGCCCAGCCCTGCAACCCCTGATCCCAGAGTGCTGGCCTCCGGGCTGCGAGAGGATAAAGTCTGTTGGATGCAGCCCCCAGTTTGTGGTTACTTGTTGCAGCTGCGCAAGGTGACCAGCCCAGCTGGATGGCGGGTGAGAGCTGGGTGGAGAGCAGGTACAATAAATGGTGCAGCCGCGTCTAGACGATGGGCTGTGGGTCTGCACTGGAACGTTCTTTCGGCTTCCCCGTGTGTTCGAAAATTTTTCATGACAAGTGTTGGGGAAGAAATGAAATGTTAGCAAAATAGAAACCTGTCTCTCCCCACCACCGCTTAACAAAATGAACAAATGTTTAAAGACCAGCGGTCTGAAGGGCAGCTGAGCTCTGGCCAGCGGATCCAGGGCCCCCAGATGTCCCCGCGCTACCGGTGCAGAGGCCTTCCCCTCCCCGGTCCACCTCAGCTTGGCCTCCCACTCCTGCACCCGAGCCTGCCTGACCTCCATCGGGTCACCCATCCTGGTGAGGCCTTAGCAGGAGGACCCTATTTCTCGCCAACGTGTGAGGCTGGACATTCTAGGGACGGAGGGTAGGGCCACGTCCTGCTCCGCCCATGGAGGCCACCCCGAGAGCCCTGGAGCGGGACAACCCCGTGGCAGCAGGGCCTCTCCGTGCCTGGGCTCTGCCTGCCGCCAGCGCCCAGAACAGGGCCCGACCCACAGGCCACAGTCAGCACTTGCCCATTCAAGTGACAAGTGAATGAGAGCATTAGCCACCACCCCGCAGCTGCCTCTGTCCTGGGGACGCCGTGATGGACACGAGGGCGCTCACAGCCATTTAGGTGAGTCCCTGTCTCGGGCAGAGAAAATATCTCTTAGCTCTTTTCATGTCATTGCTGTTGTTATTCAAGCAGAATAAATATGACCAGCCACCAGCTGGAGGCTGGCCTCCTGCCTGCCGCCCCAAGGAGCCGGAGGGCTTCCACCAAGAGCGGCTCTGGTCCTGTGCCCTCCCCTTTGCGATACGGCCTGGAAGCAGGACACAAGCCTCTGTTTGGACCTCAGCACAACAACCTCTTGCTGAGCACTCTCAGGCAAGTCGCTTTGCCTCTCTGGCCCCCATATTCGTAGTGAAACGGGTACAGCACCACCAGCCTCAGAGGCGACCTGAGAGCCAGGGGCGTAGTGCAGGTGAAGTGCCATAGAGAGCCTGCAGCTAGCTGAGCAGCGTTGCTGTTGCAGGTGCTTGGATGGCCACCTGGCGTTAGACGTTTTCTCCTGGAACGAAGTCCATGTTGGGGTGAAGGAGGGGAAATCCCTGTCGAGAGACAGACCACGCCCACACAGACAGATCCAGGTCCTATTCCCGGGCCCTGGGTAAGTAAGCAAGATGCCTGGGAGGGGCCTGCACCCCGGAGAGGAAAAGGGCGGGAGGAGGGCTGGGCAGAGGAAGTCCAGCTGGGTGCAGGTCAGAGACGGGAGTGATGGGACCACAAGCCCAGGGACACCTGGGGCCCCCAGAAGCTGGAAGAGGCAGGAAGGACCCTCCCCGAGAGCCTCTGGAAGGAGCGTGGCCCTGCACACACCTTGACTTCAGACTCCGGGCTTCCAGAATGGTGAGAGAATTCATTCCTGTTGTTTCTGGTTTGTGGTGCTTTGTTACAGCAGCCCCAGGAAGCAAGTACGACACCCCAAACCTGCCCCTCACACAGCATCCCCCGCTTGAGAGACGACTGCTCCTTCCGGGTCGATAGGAGGTCGATAGGAGGTCGATAGGAGAACCTTTGCGTCTTCCCATATTCCTGTCCTCCCGGCCACGTCCAGCGCATTGGCGCATGCTGGCGCGTCACTGGCAGCTGGGTGCCGGTGCGCACAGTGGGCCAGAGACATGGTCTCGGAGCAAGTGCATCCGACCAGGACGAGAAGGACTCGTATCCAGACGCACGTCCCCAGCCCTGCCTCTGCTGCCTAGGTTTGCAGTGGCTTTAGCTGGCCTCCTGCTTGTATTCATTCATTCATTCATTCTAGGAATGGGCTCACGTGATTATGGAGGCTGGGAAGTCCCACAACCTGCCGCCTGCAAGCTGGCGGCTCAGGACAGCGGGTGGGGTAGATCGGCCGGCGTTCTAAGGCCTGAGAACCAGAGGAGCCAACGGGGTGAAGCCCGGTCCGAGGGCAGGAGGAGGTGAGACGAGGTGTCCCTGATGGCTAGTGAGGTGGGAAGAGGGGGCGCGTCCTCCTGCCTGCACCTTGGGTGCTACTCAGGCCCTTCCGGATTGGAGAAGCCCGACACCGGCGAGGCCTCTGCGGCAGGGGCCCGCGGCCAGGTGAGCTGACACACGAGGCACTGTCTCCGCCTCTCCTGCCTCCCGGGTCTCACGCCCTCCCCGGCGCCTGTTTGGCTCAGAGGCTGCGTCACAGCAGCGATAGGTGACGGGCCTGCTCACACGCCCCACTGCTCCCCCGCCAGGCAGCCCGCTCGCCCCCGCTGACCTTCCCCGGGCATCACGTGGCTTGCTCCCTCACCCCCTCCAGATAAGGCACCTTCTCAGCCGGCCCTGCTCTGCCCTTTGAGTACCCTCGTTCCCTACCCTCTTCCTGATGTATTTCTCTGTGTGACACTGGGCAGGACACACAGCAGGCCAGCTGTGTCCCTGGCCCAGAACACCAGCACACAGCGGGCACCCAAGCCGTGCCACCCGAGGGAGTGACAGCTGGAGCCCAAGGCACAGCGCTGGGGCAGTGCGGAAGCCCCACACCATGTGGCCACTTAGTGTGCCCCCTGCCCCCGCCCTGGCCCAGAGCACGGTGACGGGACCCAGATGGCACTGTTGGCAGTTGTAGCCGTGAGGCTCTGCCTCATGGAAAGACTTCGTGTGGCAGGTAGCACGTTCTGACCCTGCCTCGGGGATTCTCAGTCTGCTGCAGCCAGAGACGCTTTGCAGAGGGTGTAGGGCTAACCACTCCCCAAATTGAGGGCTGGCCTTTGTCTGGCTCCAGGAGGGACCCGAGGCCCCAGGCGTCCTGATGGGAGCGCCGTCTGCGGGGCCACGGCCGGTCAGAGTCCCCAATGGGGGTCACGGCGGGGCTTTGGGCTGAGTGGCATCCGCTCCCCCTCCGGAGGGGCTGGACACTGGGGGCAGCCACGTGGGTCCCACAGCTCCGGTAAAAACGGGACGCCGAGGCGGGGAGCCCCCGGCTGGCAGCACCCCGTGCGTGTGCCGTCACACGTCAGGGCCCACGGGGAAGACACCGGACGCTCCTGGTCGGGGATCTCGGGGTCTGTCCTGCGCCCTCCCTCGGCTGAGGTTACTTCACGCCCCCTCCCTGCCGTGAACCAGGACCGTGAGAACAGAGCCCTGAGGGGGCTCAGGGAGTCCTCCCGGGGGGTTGTCCAACCCGAGGGGATCTCAGGGGCCTTGGACTTGTGGTCGGTGTCAGAAGCAGGGCTCTTGTGTGCACTGGACTCCCCCTAACTTTGAGGGTGACTAACGCTCACACGATAGCCAGCACAACTGCTTGCAAAACTCACCCGGGGGCACCTTCTGTGCTGTGTCCCGCTGCATCCCAGTAATGAGAAGAGAGCCTGACACAGAGCAGGTGCTTAATCAATATCGGTTGGAATCAGTCAATTGCCCGGTTGGATGTGAGGATGGGAGAGAAGCAGGGGTGCCTTCCAGATTCCATGAGTGCTGTCTGGGCCTGAGGACCCAGGCACTGGGTCACAGTGACAGAGAGAAAGGCCAGGGGACGGGTTGACCCCTCTGCTAGCACCTGGCCCCTTGCTGCTTCCCAGGGAAAGCGCTGGCCCTGTGAGAGTTGGAGATGACCTTCCGTCGCATCTATGTGGACGGCGGGTCCTCCCAGGCTGCAGGGGCTTCCTGCTCTGAGGGCTCCGTCCCGGTCCTGGGAGCGCCAGGTGGCCTTTGATGAGCCGAGGGTCCCTCAGTGCATGGTCTGACCTTGATCCAGGCCACAGTTCACACCCAGGTCACATAGGCTGAGCCCACTGGGTGCTGGGCCGTCGTCCACTTGTACTCACAGCCTCTGCTCCTCACCCAGTGGTGGCCGCGTGTTCACGCGCTCTCCCCACTGCCACAGCAGTGTCCGCTCCTCAGGCCTTCACCCAGGCCTCTATTTGACTCCTCCCCCGCCCCTGGCCTCCTTTTTATTTTTATTTTTTTTATGTTTTTATTTTTGCACTATGCGGGCCTCTCACTGTCGTGGCCTCTCCCGCTGCGGAGCACAGGCTCTGGACGCGCAGGCTCAGCGGCCACGGCTCACGGGCCCAGCCGCTCCGCGGCATGTGGGATCCTCGCGGACCGGGGCACGAACCCGTGTCCCCCGCATCAGCAGGCGGACCCTCAACCACTGCGCCACCAGGGAAGCCCCTGGCCTCCTTCTTAACTGTGACCTATGCCCCCTGGGCCCTGTCTTTGCCACAGCCCTCACCACCGACTGTCACCCATCTGACTCACTTATCGTGTCTCACTGGGGTGAGGATTGGGGCCTGACTGCAGGCAGCCCTCAAGAGCAGGGCCAGCCAGCTGCCTGGGGTGCCTGCCGACTCCTCGACCCCTTGGCCCCCGTGAGACCCACATTGGGCTCCTGGCCTCCAGACCGAGGGAGTGCCTCTGGCGTGGCCCTCCCTCCGGTGGCCAGGAAACCGCACGCCCGGTGACAGTTGTGAGAGCACATTCATCCCACGGGCTTTGCCAAAATCAATCTGTTTGAACAACAACCCTCTGACAGAGCCCTGGGGTTGGGGGACAGACGGAAGCAGCTGTCACCAACAGCTGGTGGGTGCCAGGAGCCTCCCCCAGGGCCTCCCTGCGGGCCCAGAATGGCCCTGGGCCGTCCCCACCCTCTGGCTACATCCCTGCTTCTACTGCTTGTGGCCGCCTGGAGGCTGCGGGGTGGAGGAGGATTGCATTTGTTAGATGAGTAACGTGGCAGATTAGGTTTGCTGGGCAGAGGCTCCTGGCACCACGCCGTCCCTCCCTGGTGGGCAGAGCATCTGTTTGAGGTCATTAAAAAGATGGTGATCGAAACATCCTGCGGACTAGATCCAGCCATGAGAGAGCACAGCCCCCAAGGACAAAATCCTGGCCCCATCACTTAGGCTCCAGAGCCCCCAAGGGGGGGCGGGGAAGTAAAGCCCAGGAACAGAAACAGGCGTCTAGCAGCTCCCGGGTACTGAGAACGGGGGGCAGGTCACCATCTGTGCCTTTCCTGGAATCTCCCTGCCCCACACTTCCCCATCCTGCCGTGGGCCCGGAGAGGGCAAGTCAGGGGATCCCTGCCCTCCGGCCACCACTGAGTCCAGCCCATGGAGCGTCCGCAGGAGAGCAGGGCCAGGGGCAAGAGAGGAAGGGCCCCTGGCTGCCGCCCTTGACCTACCTGGACCACAGCCCCTGCAGGCACCCTGCCCACGTAGGGTCCCCTCCTCTCTCCCTCCCCGTGTGTCTGTCTCACTCCCTCGGTTCCCACGTCTGTCCCCTCCCCTCCGCCCTTCAGCCCCAGGTGGGACGGCTCCTCCTGGGGTGCCAGCCCCACCTGTGGATGCCCACGCCCCAAACACACCCGTGTCCCTTTGCAACACGGCAGCTGTATTTCCTGTGGAAAAAAAAATGCTTGGTGGATGCCCTGGCGTCTGCGATGTACATTCACAACCAATCCAAGTCCACTTCCAATAACACTGCCGGGCTCCACAGGCATATCCGCTCCTTCCTGGAACACTGCTCTGTTCACATCCCCATGAGCTATAACCACCCAATACATTGTGCTGGTATCATTTTGAAGAAACTGTTACGTGTTAGGACAACTAGAATAAGAAAAAGTGAAGATTTTGTTCTGCCTTCATTTATTCCTTCTCCAGCTCTCTTCTCTTCTGCAGACCTGAGTTCTGGCCTAAATCATTCTCCGTCTGCCTGAAGGCCGTTGTCCACCATTTCTTTCGAGGCAGGTTCCTGGCGCCTGTCTCTTTTCTATACCTTCCTCAAAGGGCCCAGGTGGAGGGTGCCTGACTCATTCCATTTCATTTAAACCTACGATTTTCAACAACCCTACGACATGGGCATGATTTTTTGTGTCCTACAGGTGAGGAAACTGAGGCCCAGATTGCTGTGTGCACAGCATTGGAGGTCATTCACCCACACAATGACTTTAAAGCCAGGCTCTGAACCACTGCACCTGCGCCCAGGAGACTCTGCGGGATGGGTGAGAGATGAGCTTCAGTTGGTCCAGCCCTGCCTGGCCCTCCTGGGAACCCCGGCCTCCTTCCACCTCCTGCCAGCCGCGTCGCTAACACGCTGTGGGCCACGCCCTCAAGCCTAGCTTCTTGCCTCATCAGGATGCAGGACACGGCCTCACGGCCTCTGAGAGGCTCGTGAAGTGCCTGCCCAGCTGCCAGCTGGCCCACTTGTTGCCATGGAAAAGCCCAGAGCGTGTGGGCCGCCTGGCAGCCCGACACCTGCTCCCCTGGGACCCCCCCCCCCCCCC